GCAGGGAACTCTTCAGTAAACTAAATCACAAAAAGAAAGCTCATAAGAAGTGGAAACTTGGACAAATAACTAGGGAGGAGTATAAAAGCATTGCTGGGGCACGCAGGAAGGAAGTCAGGAAGGCCAAAGTGCAGTTGGAGTTGCAGCTAGCAAGGGAAGTGAAGGGTAACAAGAAAGGTTTCTACAAGTATGTTGGCAGCAAGAGGAGGATCAGGGAAGGTGCTGAATGGGGGAGGCAACCTTGTGACAGAGGATACAGAAAATGCTGAATGCTCAATGCCTGTTTCACCTCAGTCTTCACAGGCAAGGTCAGCTCCTAGACTACTGCACTAGGCAGCACAGTTTGGGGAGAAAGTGAGCAGCCCACAGTGGTGAAAGAACAGTTGAGGGACTAGTTAGAACAGCTGGACACATACAAGTCCATGGGGCTGGATGGCATGCACCTAAGGGTGCTGAGGGAGTTGACTGATGTGATTACAGAGCCACTGGCCATCATCTTTGAAAACTTATAATGATCAGGAGAGGTCCCGGATGACTGGAAAAGGGCAAACATAGTGCCTGTATTTGAGAAAGGGAAAGAGGAGGATCCAGGAAACTACAGACTGGTCAGGCTCACCTCAGTCCTTAGAAAAATCACAAAGCAGACCCTCAAGGAATTCATCTCGAAGCACATGGAGGAGAAAAATGGATTAGGAACAGTCACCATGGATTCACCAAGGGCAAGTCATGCCTGACCAACCTGATTGCCTTCTATCATGAGATGACTAGATCTGTGGATGCGGGGAGACCGGTAGATGCGATATACTTTGATTTTAGCAAGGCTTTTGCACCACAACATTCTCATAGGCAAGATAAGGAAGTACGAATTGGATGAATGGACTGTAAGGTGGACAGAAAACTGGCTGGAGCATCGGGCTCGGAGCATAATAATCAATGACTCAATGTCTAGGTAACAGCTGGTATCAAGTGGAGTGCCCCAGGGGTCAGTCCTGGGGCTGGTTTTGTTCAATATCTTCATCAACAACCTGGAAGATGGCATAGAGTGCACCCTCAGCAAGTCTGCAGATGACAGCAAGCTGGGGGTAGTTGTAGATATGCTGGAGGGTAGGGCTAGGATTCAGAGAGTCCTAGGCAAATTGGAGGATTGGGCCAAAAGAAATCTCATGAGGTTCAATAAGGACAAGTGCAAAGTCCTGCACTTAGGAGGGAGCAATCCCATGCACCGGTACAGGCTGGGGGCTGACTGGCTGGGCAGCAGCTCTGCAGAAAAGGATCTGGGGGTGACAATGGACAATAAGCTGAATATGAGCCAACAGTGTTGCCTTTGTTGCCAAGAAGACTGATGGCATACCGGACAGCACTGGTAGGAGTGTTGCCAGCTGGTCAAGGGAAGTGATTATTCCCCTCTATTCAGCACTTGTGAGACCACATCTTGAGTCCTGTGTCCAGTTTTGGGCCCCCCACTACAGAAAGAATGTGGACACATTGGAAAATCCAGTGGACAGCAACAAGAATGGTTCGGGGGCTGGGGGATATGACTTACGAGAAGAGGCTGAAGGAACTGGGCTTATGTAGTCTGCCGAAGAGAAGACTGAGAGGGGATTTAATAGCAGCCTTCAACTCCCTGAAGGGGGGTTCAAAAGAGGATGGAGCTGGACTGGTCTCAGTGGTGACACATGGCAGAACAAGGAACAACGGTCTCAAGTTGCAGCAAGGGAAGTTTAGGTTAGATACTAGGAAGAATTTTCTCACTAGGAGGGTAGTAAAACACTAGAACAGGTTACCCAGCAAAGTTGCGGACTCTCCATCCTTGGAGGTTTTTAAGACCTGGCTAGACAAAGCCCTGGCTAGGATGATCTAGTGAAGAACGGTCCTGCTTTGAGCAGGGGCTTGGACTAGATGTGACCTCCTGAGGCCTCTTCCAATCCCAATTTTCTATAATTCTATCTAGTTCTGGTGAAGCAAAATTAAACGCTACTGCCAAGATTTCTAGCCCAATGTTAAAGCCCCAAATGGTTCAGAATCAGGAACGAGCCTGAACAGGGACACAGGACCTAAGCCTCCCCCAGCCTCTGTTTAACGCTGTGGAGGTGCTGAACCACATCTAAGCGTCTGACCTTGGGCCAGCCTCCATCTGTGCAAAGGCTCCAAACTGAATCTCTGATCACTGGCAGGTTACATATCTCTACCAACAGCTTCAGGTTTCACAAATGAACTGCCAAAGGCGACATCCGCCTGTTCTGGAGATCAGCTCTCAAGTTCTCATGCAAATTTGCATACATGAATATAAGCAGCCTTCTGGTCTCACGGTGAACAACGGGACATTTCCTCCAAGGGATCTAGACTCTGTCCACCTAAATCAGCATCGCACAGCCTCTCAGGGTATACAAACAACATTTCAAACAAAATTAACATCACAACAGAAGCAGAAAAAAAAAAAAAACACATTACAGTCCAACAAACAGCAACAGTTTTGGGGGGAGATTTTGGTTGCTTGCGGGGGGAGGGGGTTGGAAGAAGGCAATTAATTAATACTGGGTTATAATATCCAAGTTGTGGGCTATTAGGTCATGACCAGACCAGGTGTTCCACAGGGGTGCATTTTTCTACAATGTGTGTATGGGAAAGCAATGATATATAACAGCATCATAGATGCACGCCTATTAAAAAAAAACACCTTAGTCTCTGGAGTAGGACTTTGATACCAAACATAATGTGTTCTGGTTCAATTGGTTTGGTACACAGATGAGAAACTGACCTCAACGAAAACTTGTAGCTGAGCCTTCCCTGACCAGCAGCGTTATGTAGAGCAAGATTCCCTCTGTTCAGGTATCTGCCTTCATTCTCCTAGCAGCAGATAAGCAAATGTAAAGAGGACTAGAGTGCAACACAGCAGGAGGGAACAAGGTAAGGTCACTGGACAGGGAAATATGGACAGAGAAGGAGCAGAGATACTAAAACAAAAAGCGAACCCTGATTCAGGGGGCCGAACAGCTGATTTCACCAACAAGGGAACTTCTGGAAGCTTACTTAGGGGCTTCTACTGAGGAAGGGAGAATTAACTCCTCCTTGGTCTAGCTACGTTGAGATCAGTGGTGTCACACCAGTGAATGAGCCGGAAAACAGAGATGACCTGTAAGTGAATTGGTGTTATACAAACTGAACCATATACCCAGGAAAATATATTACAAGTGCACTAAACACTTACGGAGGAAGACTCTGCCAGAGCTAACAGGAGATAAAAACATGACGTGAAGAACTTGTGGACCAGCAGGGAAAGGAAGCAGCAAATGCAGCAGGTGAGATGGGCAGAGAGGAACATCAACATGATCTAACATCTCCCTGCTCTCACCTTCCTCCAAGGTTTTGCCTTAAATCTGCCCTTTGGTGCAACAGGTGATTTGCATGGCCCCTTCAGTTTGGGTTGGGGCTGCAGCCCTGAAGAGGTGCATGCAGACCAGTGAGCGGGAACTAGATCCTTTCTGATTTGGGCTAAAACTTTCCACTTTCACATCACCCTGCATCTCATCTCATTCCTCACATCCCCGCTTACCTTCTCTTCTTCCTAACAAAGCGGTGTCTTGCCCTGTGCCTCACCCCTTCACCTGCACCAAGACACACTCCCAACAGTCTTCCACAGCTCCTCCGCAGATTGCTTCTCACGTGGCCCTGGCAGAGCACGTCCCGAACGTGCACCTATGCCTGGGATATTTGTAGGGGTGCATTTGGTAGCTCTGTTGATCTGAAACAAAAAGAAATGCAAAACTCTAGGGCGCTTGGTCCAGAGACGATACCTTTTATTAGACCAACTAAGAAATCGCCACACAAAAAAAAAAACCAACCTTTTTTTCTGGGATATTTGTAGGGATTGGTTATTATTTTGCTGCCAAATTGTTTGTGATCGTTCTGTTACAGCTGGGAACAATTCCTCATCCTTCCAGCGGCACCAGGACACAGTCCTGCACAGTAGGTGAGGCTGTTTGGGCAGGAAGGGGTGTTTTGAAAAGGATCTTTTAAATGTATTTGCATTTTTTCATTGAAACAAAATCTTGTTTCCATTTTACAGGGGTGTAGGCTGTAGCGGTGTTGGTCTAAGAACAGGGGCAGGCACGGCTCTCTGCGTGAATCTGGTCTCTTTTATTAGAGCAACTCAAACAGTTGGAAAAAATTTTTCTTGGCGAGCTAAAATCTTTCCATTTTAACCCCACATTCAAGCAGTTCCTCCCTTTCACGCTTTGGCCCAGCCTCCACAATCAACAACCCCATTCCCCACCCAGGAGAGTAGCCCAGTAGCCACGTGCGTAGCGCAACACGCATGCGCAAGCTGCACTACCTACTCACTCCTTTCCCCATGTGGATGCTGCGCCACGCATGCGCACGCCGGCCAAACCCCGCAGCTGCGCATGCGGACACCGCCCCGGCTGGCCTTCACCCCTCGCGCATGCGCACAGCCCGGCCGCTGGTGGCAGGGTAAGGAAGGGGGGGGCGGGAGGAGCTCGCGCGGCCGAAGCACGTGG